GCTGCGTCCCGTCGATCGTCGGCAGGATCGGTCCTCTTCGGAGGCATCGTGGATTGTAGCTGATTCTGATTACCAACTGATGTAGCGCAACGATAAACAATAGGGAAACAAGAGATGAAATCTCAAAGTTCTTAATTTTATTCAACGATAATTGTCTTCATAAGAGAGAAGAAGGGAATAAATAACCCCAAAATCCTAGGTTTCCAAAACATGCTAAACAAGGGAATAAAACGTAAATAAATATTAAATAAAAACATGGAATAATAATAAAAGCTAGGAAATAAATATCTAGACTAAAGAAGGCATCCGGTCGTATTTCTGTAGAAACGCCATCGCGATCTCGTCTCCATCAGTATCACTCTTAGCTTTTCCATCTTGTGAAAACTTAACTCGGCAACACATTGTTGTGGATAATAGGTGCTGGCGTTGTGGCTCGAGAGAAACAAATTATCACTTATTTTTTGATTGTGTATGGGCTAAGAAATTGTGGAAGTATGCGGGATGGTGGGGGATTATCTCCCATCTCCAAAGAAGGGATTTTATTTTTTTATTCTTAGATATTCTTTCGGTAGGCCGAGATATGGACTTTAGGAGTTTTGCGGTTGGAATGTGGCTTGTTTGGCATGAACGTAATCGTCTTCGTCAGAAATTACAAGTGAAGAATCCAGTTGAAGCTTGGGACTTTGGGTTAGCTTGGTTAAAGGAGTTTGACTACGCTCAATCAGGCTTGCTTGATAATAGGCTGAAACCAGGCCGCGATTTGCTTTCTTGTTGGCGAAGAAGGGGAACGTGCAAGAATGGGTGGACTCTTGTGTGTGATGCAGCAGTTCGAGATTCACATATTGGTCTTGGGGGTTGGTTTCAGGATTCGGGTGGCATTTGTCAGGCAGCTTTTATTACGTGTATCAAGGGCTCATTCTCTCCTCTATTAGCGGAACCTTTGGCTATTCGATATGGTTTACGATGTGCCCGTGATTCTAATTTCAAGCTTCAAGCGGTTTTGACGGATTCCTTAGGGGTCGTTGGAGGGCTTATTCAGATGGAAGATTGCGACCCCCTCTTTGAAGTTTTTTCTGATATAAGGGAACTTCTGTCTAACCTAGAGTGTAGTACTTGTGGACATATCCCCCGAAGGAAGAATCAAGCTGCCCATAAATTGGCGAATTGGGCGACGATATCTCAACTTTCTTGCTTTTGGACAGATTCCCTTCCCATTATTTTTTCCTCTTTCTTTAGAGATGTATTAAACTCTTAGTTGCTTAAATGCAATATTTATTTATCAAAA